GTAAAGCGCTATATAAATACAGGCCATTTACCATCTGACTATGAAGTTTAGTTATGTTTTTTCATATTTTGAAAATCATGTTCAGTTTGAACATGATTTTCATTTGGGATAAACAGGTTAGGTTGTTGTGATGGATTTAAAGTAAAGAATAGTGTGCTGGGTTGGTGTACAGCAGCAGCTGTAGTGTTCCTGTTGTTCCTGTTGCAAAAAGGGTATCAAAGATTGATTTGATGATGCTTAGATCCATTCACTCAATTCCACCTTCATACCAACTTTATATGATCTAGTATAAAGACAGCAACAGTGTACTGTCAGTGTAGGGGAGGGAAATCAGCCAAGACAGCTCATGAAACATCTTCTTACACCTCTTTAAATTCAGACATCCAAGTCCACAATGAACAGCAGCAGCGCAAATACGTTGATCACAGCCTGTACAGAAAGAAAACCTACTGGAGCTCAAAATAGACATTCTTGTCAGCTGCCGTTCTTTTCCCCATGCTTAGCCAACCAATACAACCAATTTTAGGGTTTTTCCACCTCCTGAATCCCATTGTAACCCCTGACCGTACTCATTTGCTGTTTCAATTAGGAGGCAAAGTCAGCATCTACAATATAGGCAACAGAAAACAGAGCCCTTTTTTCTCCTTATTTTTCGCTGAATGAATTCATTAGAATTAAAATTTAGACTTAATTTTTTGAGTTTTGCTTACCTGGATGATTGAACATGCATGTTTTCATTAAGAGAAATAAAGTTGGTGATTTAATCACTTAGTGATGTGCTCAACTGTATGAAGCCTGTTGACATAGTGAAAGATTTTTTTTAATGTTAGAAGACAACTAATAATGGTCATGAATGTGAATAATGGCAAGGAGGTTTTCTAAAGACAAGATATATAGATATATAGAGAAATAGCCATCTATCTATGAATGTTTTTAAATACTTCTAGTAGTTACCCGTGTTTCCATTGTAACTACAGCCACTGCAATAAATCGCTGGAGCTGAGCTGTGATGTCATCACGCCCGCGTCGCAGAATGACTGAACTGCGTCCTCCCATGGTAGTCTGGACTCCCGAGTGAACTTACCAAGTACAAACTAGCAAATAGGGAAATTGCGTACTTTAGCTGAGATTTTTATTACGTTGCACTTCTTAGCCTTTGTGATTTTTCCGACACACATTTCCTCGACCTTGATCTTCCTTGATGTTTTCGATCGAGGTTATGGAAAGGTGGATTAGAGTTACGTTTTGGACTGCTTGTCGTCAGCACTACCGGAATTTGAAACATGAAACTCATCGACAGTGAAGCGGAAGAATGACGGTCGGTGTGATACATATGTTTCTGTGTGTCAAGTCCTTAATGATACTGGACAAATTTGAACATTTGAAAACCTAAAAGGAAACGGCATACTGCACGCGTTAAGCTACTTTCCTGGACAACGTGTGGTCGGGAGACGAATGATAAAACGGTGGTATGTCTTATTGTATTTTTTGTGTAGTTTGCATGATTGTTAGCTATGAGACAGTGGCATTTGCAGAAGAGACGCAGACGCTATATGTAGTCTAAGTAGAGTTATTATATTCTTAGAAATACCAAAATATGTCTAAATAAATATGAAGGCTATCACAAAGGGGGCTGGTGACGTGTTAAATAAAGACATCTTGTGGAATTTGGTGAGAAACAGTATTTCGTTTCAGGCTGGGTAACACCATACGAAATGACAATAAACGTCTTGAGTAGTGATGGCCCGTTTGAAGCTAACTGCTTCGGTGTCTGAGTCAATGGTTTATAAGGAAATGAATCATTCGCGGGATTTGTGGAGTGTTTTGATGGTGACAGCTAGCGAACCACTGATCATTCTACTGAGAGATTTGGAGCCAGCGAGGAATAGAGGAGGTTCTGTTGTGTGGGAGAATTTTGAGTTGATATTCGTCAATCGGGTGGGTTTTCCA